ACACACACACACACACACACACACACACACACACACACACACACACAGGGTTTATTGCTTATTTTGCAAAATGAAGGGAACAGCCTGTGAAAGGTGATTAAGTTATGGCATTTCTTTCTGTAAGCAAAGAGTCAAAATTTCCAAATAAATTTGTAGAAGGTGCTTGCCTTTAAAATGCCATTGATCCTTCAAAAGAACAACCCAGTAGATTAACATACATTAGTAAAATCTTACAGCACGCTCAGAAATTATTTCCTCATAGCTATCATATTACTCATGCAAGATTTCCTTATGTCAGTACGTCTTCATTTCAAAAAGATCATTGGGGTAGGTGAAAGAGGCAACTGTGCTGCTTAACCAGTCATGCCATTAATGCAGTAAGCAAGCTCCACGATTACATAATAGGAACATAAAAGGGAACAGAGAAAGGTTTAGTTTGGGGAATTCTGGGCTCCTTGCACTTTCTGACTCAGAGCTAAACATTCGTTAAGAGAACGATGCTTCTGGTGGTTTTCTAAGACATTTAGAATAAGCCATTAACAATTAGGGCAGGTGACCACAGAATGAAGGGCAAGGTTCAGATTGGTAATTAAAATACACTGCAGCAACATGGATGGACCTAGAGAGTATCATACCAAGTGAAGTAAGCCAAACAGAGAAAGACAAATATCATATGATATCCCTTATATGTGGAATCTAAAAAAATGATACAAATGAACTTATTTACAAAACAGAAAGAGACTCACAGACAGGAAACAAACTTATGGTTACCAAAGGGGAAAGGTGGAGGGAGGGATAAATTAGGAGTTTGAGATTAAAATACACGCGCACTACTATATATAAAATAGAAAACCAACAAGGATCTACTGTATAGCACAGGGAACGATACTCAGCATCTTGTAATAACCTATAATGAAAGACAGTGTAAAGAATATATATATATATTTACACATATGTGTATGATTGAACCACTTTGCTGTACATCTGAAACTATCACATTATAACAAACCCTAATCAACTATATTTCAATAAAAATTTTAAAATGTATTAAAAAATTAAAAAATACCTTTCTCTTCTTTTTTGTTTACTCCTTTTTTGTCTTCTGAGGGGTCATCCCAAACAGTCCCAGCAGGAGATCTGTATGAGTGAGAAAGATTGCTTGAAAAACTCTTGCATTTATGCACCAGTAAAGTTGTCTTTCTGGCAATATTCTCTTTTGCTTTTAGATTTTGATTAAACTAGACTCTTAGTTCTAAGCCATCCCTGTGCTCTACAGCATTTTTTCCTGTCTCTATCCAGCTCTATGCACTATAACCATTTGCTCACATATTCAGCTCCCTCATCTGCCTCTTCGCACCTCAAGGACAAGGAATTATGCCTTAATCAGTTTGTACTCCTGGCACCTAACACAGTATATGTGATATTATTAAAACAAAAAGAAAAAAAAACGAATGAGCAAAAACCACACCAGATAATAACTGTCTGTGAAGGAGCCTGCTTTCTTTCTTTTTTTTTTTTTTTTTGTGGTACGCGGGCCTCTCACTGCTGTGGCTTCTTCCGTTGCGGAGCACAGGCTCCGGACGCGCAGGCTCAGCGGCCATGGCTCACGGGCCCAGCCGCTCCGCGGCACGTGGGATCTTCCCGGACCAGGGCACGAACCCGTGTCCCCTGCATCGGCGGGCGGACTCCCAACCACTGCGCCACCAGGGAAGCCCAGGAGCCTGCTTTCTTAAAACTCCACGTTTTAGTTAATACATTGAAACACAGAAAAGAGACGCAATGGTTGAGCTGCAAGAATCGGGGAGGCCACCTTATGGAGGGAATGGTGCCCTCAGGGGAAGGGAAGCCGGCTTAGACCCATGACCCAAGCATATCAGGGGGCTGAGTGGCTCCCACTGACCTCTGGTGTTTTCTCTATCCCCTACCAGGTTGTCCCCTTCCTCTGGTGTCTTGTTCCTTACCGTTGCCACCTCTTTGATGCTTGAGTGATCTGTGGCCATACTGATTTGTCTTGTAGATTCTCCTTTTTTAATTCCACCATAACAGACTAAACTGCTCATTACCCATATTTTTACTTTGTATCTGTCAGTCTCTTCAATCTGATTGAAGTCTGGTCTTGCTGGCTCAGGAGTCCCTCTGTCTCTCTGACTTTCTCTTTCTCTGTCTCTCACTCAATCTCTTGCTCTCCATCTCTCTCCCTCCTTCTCCCCACTGATAGAGCATTTACTATGTACCAGGTGTGTTCTAGAAGCACCAACATTGCCCATAGATCT